GTATGCACATGTGAGTGTGTGCACATACCCTGTGTGTGTGCACGTGTGTGCCTGCTCGTGAGGCCTCCTAAGTGCGGGTCTGTCCCCTGAGTCTGCATGTGCTGAGGGCAGGACGTGTGCCCACGGGGCCCCTTCTCTGACCTTAGTGCCCCTTCCTCACAGGACCCCAGAGCCCACTCTGCCAGGGAGTCTTGTCCTGTGGACCAGAACCAAATGTCAGGGTGCTGAGACTGAGCACAGGGTACTGATACTGAGTACAGAGCACTGAGAACAGAATTCTGACAGAGTACAGGGTGCTGACTGAGCACAGGGTACTGATACCGAGTACAGAGTACTGAGTACAGGGTGCTGACTGAAAATAGGGTGCTGAGACTGAGAACAGAGTGTTGACCGAGTGCAGGGTACTGAGACTGAGCACAAGTACCTACTGTACGCAGGGTACTGAGACTAAGCATAGAGTACAGGGTGCTGACAGAACACAAGGTGCTGAGACTGAGCACAGGGTACCAAGACTGAGCACAGGGTGCTGACGCTGAGCTATGACGCCAGACCCTTGTGCACGTGCCCGTCTGATCTCTGCTCGCCTGGCAGGCCTGTTGCCCACTGGTGACTCGCGGGGCCTGGGCGAGGGAGGTCACTCCCATGGGAAGGGCCGGCACTGCTCCCGCCTGCAGTGCTCAGCCATCCAGGCGTTACTGGTCAAGAAGAGATCAGAGAGTGGCCAGGGGCACTGTCCACAGGGCACCCTTGGGGTCCACAGGGCACCCTTGGGGTCCCCAGGCCCCCACCACGCCTCCCTCTCCTTGTCCTTCTGCTTCCCGACCCCATCACAGTCCTAGACCCACAGCAGAGCCTGTGTTTTCCTGGGTCCAGCTGCTGTAAGCACTCCTGGAGGGCTTCCTGGAGGTGGCGGCAGCAGCGCTGGGCCTGGCACTGTCCCCGCAGGAGCAGAGTCAGGCCCTTCTCTCCTCCTGAGACCCTGGGATTGTTACCGCCTGGGGGCCAGTGCCCGGTGCCGCCAACCAGCGACTTCTGAGATCATGGCCTTTGAAGTACCAGCAAGCACCCTGTGGCCCCATGGGGCTGGGCCAGGAGGGGCTGGCCGCACTGCTCGGCCTCTGGGAAGGGCACCCCAAGGACTGCCTCCCTGCTGGGCACCAGGCAGGCACTAAGCACTGGGTACTGAGCACCACAACCAAACATGAGCACTGGTTAAAGAGCACTGAATACCAGACATAGAGCACTTGGTACTGAATACCAAGCACCAGGCATCAAATACCAAGCACTGGTTAATGAGCACTAAGCAGTGGACATCAAACCCTGAGCACTTGACAGTGAGCAGTGAGCACTGGGTACTAAGCACTGGGCAAGTTGTACCGAGCACTGGGTACTAAGTTCTGCCCACAGCACACTGGCGTGGCTGCCCTCTCTCCCAACACTGCCTTGGAACTGCACCCCGCAAGGCTGCTGCTCTCACTGTCTTCCCAGACAGGGACACTGAGGTTGGTGAGGCTGGAGGCAGCAGGGAAGAGCGGCTGGTCCCGCGGGCCCGAGTGCCTGGGTCTCAGCGAGTGTCTCAGGGCGGCTGCAGTGCCGAGTTGTCACAGTCTGTCAAGGGTCTGAGCCATCCGTGGCCCGTGGGGGACGTGGTCGGCAGGCGGGCAGCCCTTCCCCTTCCTGTCCCCGTGACTCGGGGCCGGCAGACTCAGGCGTGCGGGGCCCCAGGGCCGGGCGAGTGGGTGCGGCAGGTGGGAGGGGACCTGGCTGGGTGGCGAAGGCCCCAGGGAGCCGGGGCGAGGTCTGGGCGAGTGCTGGGGTCCCATCGTTCCTTGCGGGGGGCTGTGGGCCCTGACCCCCGGCCCCGCGTCCCCTGGGCTGCGCCACCTGCCCAGGGTCTGACTTCAGTGGGCCACGGCTACAGCCACGGCCACAGACGCCGCTGGGGTCGGGAGGGGCGCGGGGCCGGTGTGAGGGTGGGCTGCGAGGGGGGGCGCCCTGATTCTGCGTCTCTCGACCCGAGCGTCCTCTGTCCCCCTGCCTGGCCCCGCCCCACCTGGGAAGGTCTTTGTGACTCAGAACAGGCGAGAATGTCTGAGCAGAGCAGGGCGACGGGAGGGGTGAGGGCAGGACCCGTGACAGCACGGTGAGCCCAGCGCTTGGCCCGGCGTCCGCACCCCGAGTCCCACTTGTTGGGCCCCTAAGAAGCGAAGGGTCACAGTGTCAGTCAAACCCACGAACTCCAGGCTGCATCCAGCAGGGGGCGCTGCCTCGCTGTCCCGCGCCCACCAGGCTGCAGCCCCCCGCTGCCAGAGCGCGCTGCCCGTCTGCAGGTTCCGGAGCCGAGAGCACCAGCTGATTCCAGAACTTTCTCATCACTCCAGACACAGACTCCTTCGAGCCCCCGTAGCTCAGCCCCTGGCGGCTGTTCTGGAACCTTCTAGGTGTTTCCGTGTGGTGGGTCAGCTGGTGTGCGTGGGGACCTATGGACAGCAGGGACAGAGATGTCCAGACGCAACCAAGAGACAGGTCAGTGCCCGCACGCGCAGCACGGGGCAAGTGCACCCCAAGTGCCGAGCATTTGTCAAGGTGGCAGGCTTGGGGGTCACGGCCCACCCTTCAGGCCAGGAGCCGGGAGATGGAGAACGAGAAGGCGGGGCCGTTCCAGTCGGGCACCAGCCGCTGCCTGCCGAGGGCCCCGCAGGGATAGCGTCTCTGCAGAGATCCAGGAGCGCCGGGCTCGAGGCCACTTCCTCCCTCCTCAGAGCTGGGGTGCTGCTGGGTCTGCCCGCAGCCTGGCCTGCAGTGGGGGCGCGGGGAGCAGCAGGCAGGAAGCAGCCGGCCCACCACTGCCAGGTGTTGAAAGCCGTTCCCGCCTGCAAGACGCCCCGGCAGCGGCACCCACACACAGACAGCCCCACACAGCGGGGCCATGCGAGACTCGCCACCCCCAAACTGACCCAACCCCCCGCCAGACCCACAACTCAGGCCACAGGCGAGAGCCCGGCACACGGAACCCCCGCAGGGGAGAGCCCGGCACACAGAACCCCGCATGGGCCCGACCCCGTGACCCAGCCCTGCAGCCTTCAGTTTCAGGCCGGCCTGGCAGACCCTGGAGGGGCAGAACCCTCCTGGGGTGCCAGGCCAAACCCCCGCCCCTCAGGCGCAGCCGGGCCGCCCTCCCACGGCTGGGCTTGGCCTCGCTGCGGAAGCGGAACTGTCTTGGGTGGCCTGGGGCGGCACAGCAGGTAGTGGGCAGGGCCTCAGCAGGCCGCCAGCGCCCGCCCCGCCTGCGGGTGCCCGACCTGCAGCTGGGCCCTCACTTCCCTCCGTGTCAGGAAGCAGCAGTCGGGAAGGGCACCCCCAGCCCCCAGCTCTCCGGCCTGCCCGGGTGAAGGGGCGCGTGGCTTACCCCAAGCGAAAGTGCGTGTTCAGGAACTGGCTGATTCCAGCTGGCTGCGGGCCCGCAGGGCCAAGCTTCTCCCCTGCATTCCTGCCAGCCTCCACCCCACGCCCAGGCCTGCAGCCGGGCCTGGAGTCTGAACGCCCCAGGTCGGGCCCAGCTGCGGTGAATCTGGGCCGTTTCCGAGCGAGCAGCACGTGCTGGCGAGGCCGAGCTGGCCTTCCCTCCCTTCCTTTCCCTGTGGGCCCCGGTAGCTGCAGCCCGGTGCTGACCCTCTAGCAGAAAGGACACGCGAGCTGTCTGCCAAGTTCAGACTGGCCGGCCCACTCGGCCACCCCCTCCTGTCCCCAGAGCTGGGTCTCTGCGCCCAGCAAACGGAGCCGTCAGTTGCCACTCGGCCATGTGACCGTCCTGGTGACTCAGAGACTCACCCCTGCTGCCCGCCAGCCAATCGACCACCCCAGGGAGGGACACTGGACGCAGGACCAGCCGCGGGGCAGGAACACTGGCCACCGAATGCGGCCGGCCGGCAACAGCACAGGGCCCTTCTAGAAAAAGGCGTCTCACACGAAATGTGTTTCCCCAAACTCTTTATTGGGGGCTACATGACACAGCCCATGGGGAACAGACTCCGTACAGCACGGCTCAACTCGGCTCATGGGTACATTCAAAACCTGCTTCTGGCGAAGTCATTCCGAGTACACACTTGCACACACCCGCACAGAGCTCCAAGCATACCTTCTAGAACAGCCCATTTGGTGCCCAGGAAGCTCAGACATTTCCACCTTTGTGCACGGGAAACGAACAAGTTTTGGAATTTTCTGTAAACAAACAAGGCGTCTTGGCACACTACACACATGGACGTGAGCCCGGAGACGACCCCTTCTCTTTCCATCTATGATCAAGTGTAAAAAAAAAATCTGTGCGGTTGGAGCCATCCTACATTCAGTTCTCAGGCACTGATAGACGAAATACTCGTTTGGCTGAGGATGATTAAGGCAAATTCGGCCCTTCCGAAGGCACCGCGGGCCTCCCTTATTGCTACGCGTCCTCGTCACAGTCGCACCGCTGGGTAAACACAAACGTCCGGTTAAAACGCGAAGGAGGAAGGCGCGGGGCGGCCTCAAGCGTCCGCGGCATCAGGGGTCCCGGGCGAGACGCGCGCCGCCCCCAGGGCGCACGTCGACAAGGACAGAAATCAACGAAATAAATACCACGTACCATCTCTTAAATTAAGGTCCCGACTCAGTCGCAATAAAACCGCCCGGGGGGCGACAAAAGGCACCAAAGAGGCTGCCGGGCCGCGGCCCTCATCACTTGGCGCAACAAAAGAGGAGATCCCGCGCTCCCCCGGCGCAGGGAGAACCCGGGGCGGGCGCGCCCGGGGACGCGCGCCACGAGGCAATAAATAGGGGACGGGGTTCCGGGCCGGGGCGCGCGGTCAGTCGTCGGACACGGACAGGCGGCTGAAGATGGGCAGGCGGCGGCCGGGCTCGGGCGCGGGGCGCGCGGGCTCGGGGTCTGGGTCTGGGTCGGGGCGCGCGGGGCGCTCGGGGCCGGGGCGCGCGGGGCGCTCGGGGCCCGGGCCGGGGCGCGCGGGCTCGGGGGGCGCGGGGCGCGGCCGCCGCTCGTCGGCGTTGTGGATGAAGTGGCAGCGCGGCCCGTAGGGGCACAGGCCGGCCGAGTGGAAGGTGCGGCACAGCTCCGTCTTGTACTTGGGGTGGCGCGCCAGCAGGCGCAGCTCGCGGCCGCCGTGCGCGAACTGGCACTTGTCGCCGTACCTGCAGGCGCCGCTCTCCTCGAAGGGCCGGCACAGCTCCGTCTTGTAGCGCGGGCCGGGCGCGCCGCCCGCCCGCGAGCCCGCCGCCCTCGCGTCCAGCACGCCCGGGCTCAGGCTGCCCAGCGACGGCTCGGCCTGCGGGGGACGCGCGGCCGGTCAGCGGCGGTCGCGCGGCCCCCGCCCCGCCCCCCCCTCCCCCGGCCCGGCCCGGCCCGGCGCCCGCTCACCGAGTGCAGGAAGTCCAGGTCGCAGAAGGCGGACAGCAGCGCGGTGGACATGGCTCAGCTGCGCGCACCAGCCCGGACGCCCGGCGCGCGGGGCCGCCGCCGACCGACGGCCGCTCGCCGAGTGCCGGGAGCCGAGCCCGGGCGCACTTATAAGCGGGGCTGGCGGGCGGGGCCGGGGCGCCAGCGCCCCCTCGGCCCCCATTGGCTGTTGCCAATTTCCCGCTGGGGCGGGGCGCCAGCGCTTCCTCGGCCCCCATTGGCCGCCGCCAATTTCCCGCTGTGCGGGGCGGGGCGCAAGCGCCTCCCTCGCGTCCTATTGGTCGCTGCCAATTTCCCGCTGGGGGCGGGGCGAGCGGCTGACGTCAGCGCCCCTCGGCCCCGCCTAAGTCCCCCTGGGGCACGGCGGCGGCGGGAGAGCCCGGCACACTGCGCGCCGTCCCCGCCGAGTGTCCCCCGCGCCCGGCGCCCGGCAGCAGCGCGGGCTCCACGAGCCCCGGGGCCGGCTGGGCGCAGCCGAGACCGAGAGCTGCGGCCCGAGGCGCGAGTGCGCCTGGAGGCCCCTTCCCGCCGCTCGGGCCGGGCTCGTGGGTGGGGCGCCCGCCGCGCGGGGCTCCGCGGGGACTAAAGCGGCCGGCTGGCCAGTGCTCCGAGCCCCGCGACTCCCAGGCAACTCCCCCCAACCCACACGCAGAAGTCGTGGCTTGGGCCACACCTGGCAGGGCTCGGGGCTTACCCCTGGCTCTGCCCTCGGATATTCCTGGCAGTGCTCGGCCGGCTGTGTGCAAACCCCTCCCCCACCTTTTGCCCATGACCTTCCGGTTCGAGTTCCTTGAAGGGAGCCCTTCAAGCTGCTGCCGAGTGTCTTCGGCCAGCTGCTTGGCAAGTCTCCCCGGGCGTCAGGAGGGAACAAGCACTGTCCGCCCCACTCCTTAAGGAGGCGCGGCAGTTCGGCATAAGGAGGCAGTTCCCAGGCCAGAGGGAGCCAGGCCCCAGGCCAAGGCTGGAGGGTGGGTGAGGGCACCTCTCAGGCCCGCGTGTTCTGCTATAAGGTCTCTAGAGTTAGGCTGGTGTGGTCACTGTGTCCCAAGGAATGCAGACCTCCCTCCTGGCCACTGGCGCAGTGTCCAGACCTGGCTGACAAGAAGCCTGCCTCAGCTCCCCACCCAGAGCAACAAGTGACCAGGCGGGTCGTGCTGGTGCAGTTTATTATTAGAGGATGAGCTGCCGGATCTCACCTGCACTGCAGGGTCAAGCAGGCTGGCCACCTCCTCCCACCAGGGTCCCAGGCTGGGGAGGGGCCGCTGACCAGGTGACCACTTTGGTTCATCAAAGTGCCAGGTGCTGAGAGGGTCCAGCCAGCGGGGTCAGGATCACTGACCCTCCCGTACTCCCAGGCAGTTTCTGGAGTTGAGGACAGACAAGTTACACCTGGAATCTGCGCTGGCCACACCCTCTCACCTGCCCCTTGAACTTCCCAGCTGGGCCTGCTGACCAGAGCGGGGTGTGAGTACCCACAGGCCCTAGAGCCCGGTGAGTCTGTGTGGTCACCCTTGACCAGGGACCCGCCGGCATGGCGACACCTGCTGGGCGTCCGGGGAAGGGCTGGCCCAAAAGGCAGAGCCTGGGAAGCAGCAGAGGTGTCCCCTGCCCTCCGCCAGGAAATGGTTGGCTGGGCCACACCTCTGGGAGGTAGGAGCTCTGGTTCTTCACAGTGAAGACAGATTCGTCTCAAGTGGGCCCAGGGTGGCCCAGCACCCCCACCTGGAGCCCATTTCTGCCTTGTGATGAAGGACACAGCAGCACCGAAGCACGTGGGTCCACTGCCCCTCCTCAAATCCGGGTCCTGCCAAACCCAGGGCTGGACCCCTCTCGGAAATGAGGGGGCGGTGCTGGACGCTGGTGGCCTGGGAGACACGGGCCTCGCTGTCCCTGCGCCGGGGTGAGCAGGCCTCTTCCCCAGTGAGAATGCTGGAGTCCACGGTCATGCGCCCGTTGCAGGGCGACCAGCCAGGCGGTCCCTGTGCGTCCTCAGCAAGCTGCTTCTGCCGGGGAGCGGGCGATCAGGGCCCAGGGCGCGGCCGGCTCCTTCTCCAGGCGGGGGTCCAGCAGCCGCAGGCAGGCCAGGGCGCTCTCCTCCCGCACACGCAGCTGTGTCCACTGGGCTGTGTGCAGGAAGGCGGCTGCAGGCGGGAGAGCCTGGAGCTGCCCGCGCGTGTGCTCCTGCTGCTCCGCGGCCACGCTCTGCAGGTGGTCGAGCTTCCCGGGGCCACAGGCTCTGCCAGGCAATGCCAGCAGCCGGGAGATGGGCCCGCAGAGGTGCCTCACGAAGCGCAGCGGCTCGGCCCACAGGCGCACCTCGTCCTTCTCAAACAGGCTGTCGTCCTCCACCTGCGGCCACGGTGCGGCGTCAGCCCCGTCAAGTGCCCCCACCTGCCTCCTGCCTCACCACCAGCCGGCCCAGAGCCCGTGGGACACCCCCGCCCACCAGGGTCCACCTGTGCCTCCGGCCCCCACCCACCACCACAGTCCACCGGGGTCCCCTGTGGGCCCTGGTCACCTGCTGTGAGCTGTCCAGGGGGGCCGCAGGACAGCAGCTGTCCTCCAGCGCCCAGCCCAGCATCACGGGCAGCCCGGGGCCCAGCTGGTCCCACTGCTGTAGCAGATGGCAGAGCACGGTCACGGCCAGGGGCAGGGCCACGGCGGCGTCCACTGGGCAGAAGGCGAAGTCTGCAGGAGCAGACGGGTGGGAGGGACTCAGCCGCCTGCCCTGGGAGACGGGCAGGACTGCTGGGGACAGGCCCCGCATGCCAACACCCCAGCAAAGCAGAATAGCAACAACTCCCCCCACCCCACCCCACCCCACCGCCTGCTACCACAGGGAGCAGCCCGGGTGCCTGGCTCGGGGCCCCGGCCCAAACCTCTGGGGCAGCTCCACAAGGGGCAGGGAGTTGTGGCTTGGGGGCCACCACGCCTGTCACCGCCAGTCCCTGCTCCCCACGCCCCTCTCGGCCTCTCCCTCCCAACAACCCCGCCCGCCCGATCCGATGCCCACTGCCCGCCTCTGCCTGTCCCTCGGCTATGCGGTCTTTTGTGAAGCTTAGCCCTGCAAGGCAGACCTGTCCTCTGACCCCTGGGCACCAAATCGGGGCCGCAGAGCAGGGCGTGGGAGAGTACCTGTGGCCTGGCGTGTGTTCTCCTGTGACAGGGTGGCTGTCACCGTCTCAGAGGCCGCGTCCCGGACGGCCTGATCCTCACTCTGCAGCAGCGTGAGGACGCACCTCCAGAGCGCCAGTGTGTGCTGCAGGCCTGGAAGACGGGGACACACATCTGGGCACCGGCCAGGGCAGCCTGCAGGGCCCTGCAGCTGCTGCCCAGGACAGGGCAGGGGTGGAGGCAGGTCGGAGGTGAAATGTCCCCGAGAAGGCACTCTCACGGCTCTGTCCACCCGTGAGGCTGCCCAGTCCCTCCCCCTCCACGCCGGGACAGAACAAGCACAGGGTGGGGACGTGTGGCTGACACCACGGGGACAATGGGTGGACCCCTCGAGGGACCAGCCCTGTCCACAGCCCGCCCGCGCCCCAAGCTCAGTGATACCTCACTGCCTGGGTCAGAACCCAAAACCACCCCAGGCCCCGCACCCCAGCCCCTGCTCTGCCCTGCAGGCACCCGCAGGGATGTGCTGTGTCCATGTCTGACCTGGCCCGTCTCTCCACACGCCACGGCCTTGCCGCCCTTCCTCCTGGCCCCTGCACCCCCCCTCCCCTTCACCCCTGTGCTCCTTTCTCTCCCTCCCTCCATCCCTCCCTCCCGCACCCCTCACACTCACACCCACCCCCCTGCCTCTCACCAAGTCCTGCTTCTCACCCTTTCTTCTCCATGCCAGCCTTGACCCCAGCCTCGGCCCCTCTCACAGGACCTGGAGGTCACAGGTCACGCTGTGGCCTGGTGGGAGGCCGGGCCCAAGCTGGACAAGAGGCCGGCTCGGAGGCCAGCGCCGAGACGAGATAGAGGAGGAGAGGGGCAGGGTGCCCACTCACTTACCCAGCACCGGCCGAGGGCCGGCAAGCACTGACGCGGCGGTGCTGGTGAGGGCGGCGGCGGCAGCCAGCTGGGACTCCGAGGGCTGGTGGTCTGCACAGGCCGCCACGACCAGTTGAGCCCAGCGTTCGAGCTCCTGCACCTGAAAGCATGAAAGGAAGGCTTGGAAATGGGGGCCCCATGGGGTGCAAGGGGGAGCCGGCTGCGTCTGCTCACCCCAGTCCAGGGACTGGCCGCTGTGGCCTGTGGGTCTGACCGGGCACACGAAGAGCTGCGTTCAAGATAAGCTACGCAGTTCAGCCCCACAGTGGAGCCCAGAGGGGGTGGCAGTGCACGCTGAGGCAGGCGAGCCCCGCCGGGCCGAGCGCCTGGACCCTGCCAGGCACCACGCAGGACGGGGTGGCAGCAGCAGCCTCCAGAGAGCGGGTCTGTCTGCAGGGACGAATCCTGTAGAGCTGGCGGCCTTAGCGCGGCTGGCCTGGGCACACCCCCAAGGGACAGTGGCTCCTGTGGGCCCCGTGCCCCTCCCCAGCAGGAATATCCTGTGCCAACCTGCAGCCCCACATCCCCACCAAGATGCACATGCAGGGGCACTGGCTGCCTCCGTGGAGTCGGAATGTGTGTGCGCGTGAGAATGGGAGCACAGGTATACATGCGAACTGGCACATACGCGCGTATGCACACGTGGGTGCAAATGTCAGCGCTAACGTGGCATGTGTGAGGGTGCGTGCACGTGTGGGTGTAGATGCGAATGTCGGTGCAGATTTGTGTGTGTATGAGGCTATGTACGTGTGAGCGTTGGTGTGAATATGAGTACGTAAGCAGAGATATACGAGCAGAGTTGTGAACGCGTGTGTGTGGGTGTAGACGTGTGAATGAGTGTGTCTGGTCTGCGTGTGTGTAGGTGTGTATGCGAGCCTGGATGCACTTGCAATGAGCCTCCTGCCCAAGATGGGTCCGCCTCTGAGCCTCTAGGAAGGAGCGCGCTGCCCATCACTGCCCAGGGCCGACACCCGCAGCCCTCCAACAGGGACTGTCTGCACACCTGGACCCAGTGAGGCTTCGGGCCCGTCCCTGGTGCC